GTAATGCAAGTTGTGGTAAAGCACATTCTCCAACTGCCTGCGTACTTGTTTGTCATTGTCAAGTTGAGTATACTTTGAAATACTACGCGTACATGTAGTTAAAGTCTTGATTTTTCCAATTATTTGGATCTGAATGCTTGGATTTGACATGGAAAAATATGGCTTCAAACTGTAATTTTGGTGTTGATGGTAATAAACACCATTATGTTGAGTAATGATGATCCCGAATTTACAACTTCATTATGATAACTTCAGTAGGATTTATCTTGCCATTGGATTTGTTTGATAGCATTGCTGAGTAGGGATGGTATCTACGAGTGCTCAGACGTAATGCGATGATCAATAATATTTATTGATTTATTGAGTATATTCATTGATGTTCAAAATCGAATTTTGCATTTCACGTAATGTGGCCTGTACCTCACCTACTATATACAGTATGAGTTCATTTTATGTGCTATTCATTAGGGTTATATGATTATTGGCGGTAAAAATAACCAGAATAATGGAAATTATATAAAACGGGAGTGAAAACTTTACTTGTGCAATTTTTAATATCGCGTGGAAATAACCACATTATTGGTGCACATCATGTAAGCGTAGTCAAGGTTGGAATAAAGGGATGCACCGATACCTCGTTTTCCAGAACAAGTCCGATACTGAAACTTTCATTTATGGTACTTACCGCTACCTGGGTTTTCACTGCATTTGTAATTTTTAAATACATTGCGTAGAGAGGCCAAAAGAATATATGAATCATATTAGTTGGCTATAATTGTTTATATGTTTTATATATATATATATCCTTCTCTTATTTTCATGCTTAATTAAGCCTGTTAAAATTGTGTAATTTTCATGAGAACCATATTTTATCTTTCATTTACTAGAACACTGCATATTTAGGTTCAGTGCTAATCAAATAGATACCAGTCAAATCACAATTCTCTATTCCAATTTTGATACTATAAACTACTTGCCTAATTCATGTACATTTAAAACATCATTACTTGACAATACAGTTAGTAATAAAATAAAGTGTTTTGGGTTTCAGGTAGGTCTAAATGTAGTTTTCAGGTATTTGAATAAATCAATTTGTGAAATAACACTGCATGTGTTGTTCATAGCAGTATAAATTAAATATAGATGGATCTTTATAAAGTTACAAAAGTTATTCAGTGAGTGATTTCCATATCCTATGTTTGATTAACATTAAACCACAGCAGCAGGTTTATTAGGCTACTGGCCCTTTAAGATGGAATGCACTAATCCCTGTCTACGTTCACTTATAATAGACTATGTATACTGGGAGACATTTCTTTGCCACCGTCACTGACATCCAATCGAACTACAAACTGATGAATGCGAAAAAGGGACGCGCGCTCGATCTTGGGCATCTGTGCCACTGCGCACTCAATCCACTGCTATATGCGTTACTCTGTTTTGTTTAATATTCCACTAATCAGATAGATTTCATAAGGCTTTCTTTATGCCCATTATGCTCAGTGTTGTCAGTATTGGTTGTTGGTATCGGAGCATTATTATGAGTACGAGGACATTTGTATCGGTGCATCCCTATTGGAATACTTTGTGTTTAGTTGCCTGGGTTGGAGCAGATCAGTTTACTGGTGTTTGTTCATCAAACTTACCTAAAAATGATGCCGCAGAACTAGATACCACAACTAAGGAGCGCATCAGTGAGCCTATTTTACATAAGGACATTTTAGGAATTGGATTACTCACAGCATGAGTTATATAGTTAAATAGAATGACTAAAGGCTTCATTGGTGTCAGATGACTTCACTTCACAACTAACTGTTTGTCCTTTATCATAAAGTGTAAGACTTTTCTAATGAGAGTGTTAGGCTCAGCTTTCCACACCTAACACATAGCATGGGCTTCTGCAGTGCTGGACTCTCATGACAAAGCTAGAACACTGACTCTTTGTAAAGTTTAACTGCATTTTGTTTGTTCCTTTAATGGTTGATTTAAATAAGGTACTGATATACTCAGCAAAGTTCTTTGATCGGGGGTCAAAAGAGAACTCCACTCAATAACTGTACTAAAAATACAGTTATTCCCACTGTATTTAAAATGTTGTTGTAAAAATTGATCCACTGCTAGTTTGACTTTTTGCAGTTATTGTACAAACGACTACCATTTTTCTCTAAAACGAGACACATTTAAGATAAGATGTTTTGTCACATAACAAGGGATGCCTTGAATGTCATAAAAATTGTAATAATTAATGCTTTTCCAAAACTGCAGTTACTGCCTTTTTGCTTTGTAGGGCAGCGTTTATGTCTGCTATATTTAATTTATACAGTAAAGGCAGTGTTATTTTACATTTGATTATTCAATGTCTGTTCCTGAATACAGTTAAATTTAGCTAAAAAACAACACTGTTTATTTAATTATCTTTTTTCTATTGTATTTATCTGTGCTTGCAATTAGTTTTTCCATGTGGATGCACTATCCTACAAAATCACCCCAGTCATCCTTGAATGATTCGTTCTTTCCAAATGTAGTTTATTAAAAATATTCAAGAAATTTCAAAAATAAAATCATCTGGTGAAATTAAGAAAAACAAAATTTTGCAATGTCAGGTTTTTTTTTCCCCAATATTGTGCATCCCTATTATTAACAATCATAACCGTGCGCAAAAGCCTTCACCAAATACTTTAATATCACAATGTTATTGCTCTTTGTTCCTGGTCTGTTTTATAATATCATAAATTATGGCAGTAGTGTTTATTAGATGTTCATTCATAAGGTGATCAGCCAGGGCTTCTGCTGTTTAATGCACCTTGTTGGATTAATGGAAATTATTCATGTCTAATATCCTGTGTCATGGATCAAGCAGAAGTGACCATAATAAGCGTGTGTACAAGATGACTTGTTCTTTTATTTACAAATTTCAATGACATATTATTAGCGATGTCAGCCATCGTCCCAACGCTATTCTGAACAAACAACTAAACATATGTAATTTATTTGACAAAATGCGGGTTTGTTCTACTTTTGATGCATATCAAACATTTATTGAACTCGTGTTAAGGAAAATAATATGTTATTGTTTTATTGCCCAGCCCTAGCCCAGTGCATTTTTTTTTTTAAGGTGGGCCGACATTAGATATATTTAACCAACGCGATCTCACGGCAATTCATACGAATTTTACGAGGTGGCTAATTCGTTACAATTCGTTGGAATGACATACCCCTGACCCCGCCCCTAAACCTACCAATCACATGGTTTAGACGAGTGAGGTTGTACGAATTCGTACAAATTAGCCACCTTTTAATCAGTGAGATAGCGTTAATTTAACAGCACCATTCAAGAACGAAAAAGTTCCGAAACTGAATTATCAAATGTAAAACTAAAACACTGCATAGTCTTCACATGAATTAAATATACATTGATTCATATTAAAGGTACAAAAGTTATACAGTCAACAGCAGTGAGTGATTTTTTTTTATTTTTATTTTTTTCTCGAAAGACCACAGCAGGTTTACTGTATTAGGCTGCTATCACTTTAAGACCTAATGCACGAATCCTATTAACACACACTTGATTTTTTTTCCCAATTTTTACATTCACTTAAAGGTGCCATCTACCATAATAAATCAAATCCTACTCCATATTCCATAACAGATGGGGGCAGTATACCTCCAAAAAATGACTTGTGCTCCTACCATCGCGCATGTTATTCAAATCATTTGACATGATAGTAAAAGGTTGGAAGACCGCAGTTTCATGTGGAACATTTGGAGATTTTTAGAGAATAGAGACTCAATGAACTAAACACTAGAGTGAACTAAACTAAACACTATGAATCTCAACACTAAATGATGAAGACCGCCTCATAGATCTCAAAAACAAGCTGGTGCATTTCGACGGTATGGGAAAATAAAAGCTTGGGCAATTATTTGAAGTTTATGGTATTCGTTTTGTTCATATTACACTTTTATTGTTAGTGAATTAATTTGACAGACAGCATTCGCTGATATTGATCAAGCTAGCGCCGTGAATTCACCGTGAGACACACGCAATTGACACTTAGCAAGCAGGTTAGTTAAGCTCTCAGATTCTGTCAATTATATTATGCAATTCAAAGAATAAATACCGTTTTGGCGCTTGTACATGTTACACTACAGATCCCTAGCGCACGTGAACCGATCGTCTCTACTAGCTGGAAAAAGAACACGAACACTGTTGAAAGATACAGTATGCTACAACTTACCAAAATGTATTCCTCATGCATAATGTCGACCAATCATTTTTTGAACTCTTCCCTGAACTGAAATGTAGTAGTGGGCTGTATTTCCACACGACTGACATCAGGTTCAAGTACACATACACACACACACACACACACACACACACAAGCCGGCGCGAGCGCGACTCACTCGCGTATTGCAGTTTGGCTGGT